TATCAAAAAAACCAAAGAAAATCTAGGAAGTAAACGTATACAAGCATGCGTCTTCGAAGTTACATTAAATTATAGATAATTTAATATGAATATATTTATGATGAGATCGTAATATAATTTTATTATTAATACTGGTATAGTTAATTACATCGCAGAATATAAAATATCAGGAGGAAAGAAAAATTTTCTAAGTTTAATTTTATTTCTAAGATAATTCATGATCCGTGTCTTGTATACAGAAGCCTGGACTCTATAATAATCGAAATCGTGACTACTCAAACACACGATCAAATCATCGAAATGACCGTTATTATGGGTACTATCCTTGAATAGGATAGCAATGAGCCTTTGAAAACGTCTTACATCGATTTCAAAGGCGTGAATCATGCGATCTACCATAACGGCTTTATATACCCCATCAAAATTTAAAGCAAATAAGGTACTCCTCGTTAAAGACCCATCTCGCATACCTGTTCAACGCTCGTATTAGGATAATTCTTATGATCGTGCAACGGAACTGGACATCCGAAAAATACTTTCCCTTGACTGACATCCAACTAGAAAACGTCACGACAATATTTATCACGAAGATGAACGACGAAACGTGCTAGTTGGTATACTCACGCGACGTAAAGAATCGAGGGCTACCTACGCGGGAAATGAGAATCCCGCTAAACTAATATACAGTCTTTTGCATTCCACGTACATACATGCAAATATGCAATCTCTCTCTCTTTTTCTCTCTCTCTCTCTCTCTCTCTCTCTCTCTTTCTCTCTTTTTCTTATTTTTTTTTTCCTTTTCACGTTTCACTGTGTCAGCAATTTTTTAGTCTTCTCTTTTTCTTCGACTAAAAGTTAACGGAAATCGTACTTACTTCGAACGTTCATAAAACAAAATTGTTCTTATTTTTTCATTCACAATGCTAATTTAAACTTCATGTGATCATTGATAATGTGACACGTACCTACTTATTTACATTATATACATTCATATATGTGTATGTATATATCTACATATGTATATTATTGAAAAAGCAGGGACGTGTATATTTGTGCAAGCGAAGACTCGAACGATTAAGACGACAAACGACGACTACAATGATGAGGAGTAGGGTAACGTAAGTCTCGTTTGCACGCTTGGATCGCGCCACTATATCGTTATGTAACGAGTGTGCGTCACAAAACGCGTCCACACCGAGAGAAAAAGAGGGGAAGAGAGAGAGAGGGAAAAGATCGCATTGACACGAACACACTTGAGCGTAACGACTATATCGTAACGAGTGTGCGTTAATAATTGTGCCGCTTAACCTTGGACATTGATTAAACCATCCTTTATATCGATACACCTTGTGCGTTGTGTATAGGTATAGAAAAGTATCACAATATATATGTGTACACATAAGCACGCTCGTGTACCACCTGTATATTTGTATTATAGTTATATATGTATTTCTAGGCGAATATATGTATATTTCTAAGCAGGTTTTAACCGTTCCCATAAAATTATTAGAATGTAGAGAAAATATACTTTGAAACTTTTATTTTCTTTTTTTTCCTCCAGATTCAAGAGATAGCGTAAGATCTTGAATAATATTCCACCGATCAATTCGAATAAAATTTCTCGAAAGAACATAGTCGAGATATGATTAGAAACGAATAATACGATAAGAGGTTCGATTTTCATAGATATATCATACTTCATATTCTTCAGTTTGTCGACGTTCAATATACAAAATGTCGTCCAAGGCAATTTGAAATTGTTCTCTTTTATTATATCAATCGTTGAATTATTACTCTCGTGTCAATTATTATATATCTATATTATATATATATATTTATATATATATATATACATATTATTAAATATATAATATATTATATATATGTATATTATATTATATATAGATATATAATATATATGTAGGTGTATAATAATTTATATAATTTTAATGTAATTATTTATTTTATTTGGAAACGAGTTATTTTTATTTCACTATGGATTTATTGCTTTTATCATATATCTGTTATTTTAAATATTACGTATTTATTCTCATTTTGATAATGGACAATGACATTTTTGGTGCTCGAAGTTATTGCACTCTCTTTCCCCTTCTTCTTCCAACAGGGAGACACATAGGGATCACGCAGGGATCTTCAAAATTATTATGGGCAGGCGAGGGGTTACGTCGTACAAATGAATGTAAGCTAAGGGACGGTCCTTTGCGAATACGCATATGCGTTAATGGCGCGGAGAGAAATGATTCATATTTTTTTCTACTACGAGCACGTGCTTTCTCTCTCTCTCTCTCTCTCACTTTCTCTCTTTCTCTCTCTCTCTCTTTCTCTCTCACGTTGTAAATGCGTGCATACGACATTTTGTTTCTTCTATCCATCCATCTTTTTCTTTCTAATTCGAAAGATGGGTATCTCGATCCCCACGCGAGATAACTTCACGAGTCCTCTGCCTCCCTCTCTCTCTCTCTCTCTCTCTCTCTCTCTC